GACGAGGGTCGTGAGGACAGACGCCAGGTCATCGGGGGAGTCGAGCGCGGGCCACCAATCCGCGTGGCGGAGGTCCGCGTGGCCCACGTTGACCGACTCGGCGTACCAAGCTTGGAGCTCACGGTCGTTGCAAACATCGGCCGGGTCTCGGTAGTAGCGGCGCACGTAGGCGTGGACCCAGACTTGGATGGCGGACCATATCATGAGCCCGTCTGACGCGTACGGGTAGTCCTCGATCATGAGACGAAGCCCGTGGGGTTGTGTGGGGTCTTGCACCGCCATTCCTCTGAAAATCGAGGTTACTGTTAGTGATGATATATATGATTTCGTCGTATTTTTTTTTCCCTTTTGGCGATGAGTTACACTATGAGAAAATAAAGGATAAAATTCAACGGACATATACTCAAATGGTATTCCGATGCAATTTTAATGGATATTACAATGTTATAATTTCCATTCGAATTTTTCAATGGATTCCAACGAAAATTACACCCAAAAAAAAAATATTCCGTTGAAATGAGTTTTCCATTAAAATTTCTATTAGATTTTGACGATTGAATTTCCAACAGAGATTTCATATTCCAACATAAATTCTAACCATGAAAAAAGCGCCGAAAAAGAAATCGTTAAAATCCTCAAGTTTCATCTACAATTTCTATGGAAAACTCATTCCTACGAAATATTTTCGTTGGAATTTCCATTAGAAATTATTACCGTATGTTTTTTCCATTAGAAACAGCATTATTTTTTTGGTAGTGTTAGTTACCTTCGGATGAGATCGGCAGGGAGGCCCTCTTGATCGAAACGCCATGAGGTTTTGTATGCGGCGGCACTAATTTCCATGCAGTAACGGCCGGGAGTGAAGCAAGACTCGATTACGCCATCCACGCTGATTAGGCTCTGCCTTGCCAAAGCATTGATCTCTAACGTATATCTCATGTGCGGGTCGAGAAGCTTGAAAATCGGGTGCATTGCGCTCATCTGCCTGTGTGCTGCCAAGATAAACGGCTCCAAAGTCGCATGTGTACGTAGCCTTCAAAAATCAAAAAAAAAAGAAAGAAAGAAAGAAAGAAATATGGAACCGTAAATTTTGAGACTTCACAATTTACGATTTTGCGTGAAAATGTACGAAGTTGAAGTGCTTTGTACCAATGGTTGACAAGTTGATGAACGCCAGCATCGTTCGAGCAAACGTGTGCCTTTGCCAGCTGCCATTTCCAGTATGACGTGGCATCGACTGGCTGAGTCACCACGCGCTTCGATTGCGAATTTAGAGTTGTCGGGGGAAGGCTGAGCTCGATGGCTATCGGTTTAAGTGTTCCTAATTCGGTCAAGAAGAATACTGTACGCGTGGCATACGATTTACGGCCATCGAGAGCATTTATCCGCTCAATAAACGGAAGGTAAATATCGTGATAGTCGATGATGTAGAGCTTGTTCGAGTCCAATGCCTGTTAAAAGAAAAAAAATGATCAATTCATACGTGAAACGCGCATAATTAAGGGAAAAAAATTTAAAAAATGCGAACAGTACAATATGTTTATAGTTATATTACCTCTTGAACAGTCATGCCATTGAGTTGGCCAGCAATGTGTTCTTCTT